AATATAAATAAATGAGAAGCAAGTATTCTATCTATTTCATAGCATTTAATGTACAATCATTTATACAGTGGGGCCATACTCCTAATATTTATTTCATGCTATTAAAAATATTGATAAAACAGTAGACATTCATTAGTTACACCATTTCCAAGAGCACAGAAGGATGAACAAATGCGTTTTCATTATAAGAGGTAATAATAATTAAGAGTGACAGAACCTTATCCTCACGATCTGCCTCCCAGCAGCAGTTTGGCTAATAAAAAAACAGAAGTTAAGATAAGGCAGCAATTATTAAGACAAATCTTCTGAAGGGCTGTTTGAACTCCTGTGTCCAGCAGATAATCTGATTTTACAAGGTGCTCTGGGGGGGGGAGGCTGCATGGGAAGCAGTACCCAGGTGCAGGCCTTTAGCCCTTTGCACTGGCATTTTTACCTCTAGCGATTTCCCCGGTCGCTTCTTCTTTTGTTTGCTACAGCTGTGGCACATAAATCAGTCTCCATTCTGCCTCACTGACACCAAAGAGAAACACAGCACAAACAATGCACAACACCAAGCCCCAAATGTATTAATCATCTTTTTTCTTTTCTCTCTTTTTTGCTGATCCCTTTCACCTATCTTTTTTGGGAAATTCAAATATGGCTACGGGCAACTCAGTAATTCTTCTCTCATAAATATTAGATGTACACGGAGCATGAATATTTGAGTAGCTAACTCTGACTTAGGTGAAACCAATTGCTAATAGCAATTCATTTTTTCTCAGTGACATTCCACCAATAATCAGTGTGAGTGGGACAGGATGATGCAGGTTTGAGCTGAACAGCAAACGGGAATGAAGGTGCCAACTGGGAGCAAAGATGCTTTAGTGATCTGGCCCTCAGGTGGGACTTGGGGCTGTGCCTTCCCCCTTACCTTGGAGAAAGTTTGAGCAGGGAGATCTCTGCTCAGCAGCTACATGTGGATCTTTAGGAACCAAATATGGGAAAAAAATTTTAAACCGATTTTTATTATGTCATCAAGCTCCCGCCCTGTGCAGTGTCACCTGTGTGATGTGCAAACCGCAGTAGGAGAGACCCAGTTGGTCCCAGCACCCTCTCCTTAGGATATACCACATCCCTACTGTTGGGCAAGGCTTTGGGGCCCTTGAATGTCTTGTTTCTCAAGGCAGGTGAACCCACCCTGCTGCACGAGGGCTGTGGGGATGTGCTGAAATGGTGTGGGGGGTGGAGACAGGGCTGTCCCATTTGGTGGTACCAGGCTATCTGTAAAATTGTGTGCTTCGATTTTTAATAAAAAGTAGAAATTGTGATTTTATGCCTGAGGCATAGAAAAGAAATGTAGTGTCTCTGGACCTAGGGAATGGCAATGAGTAATCAGGTGTGACCAGCTCAAACCTCAGTTGAAGTTCATGCTTACATGCCCAAGGGACACCAGTGCATACCTATCATTTTATATTGGTCCCATATTTGCCATTACTAGATAGATATTTTATAATCCTTTGCTAATACTTACACACATTTGTCTGCTCTAGCATTGGGCTCCCCTTGCATGTGCTTTGGACAGGAAAGATCCCACTGGGTCTCTGAAATCACCCCAGTGCAGCTCCTCTGTCAGGGCTGGCTGTTTGGGTTGGCTCCCTGTCTCCATCACGGCTGGCTGGAGGAGTCTGTCCCCATCCACACAGAACAGCTCTCAACTTGCAGAGGCCAAAGACCAGTGTGAACAGAGCCATTGCCCTTGCTGTGTCCTTCCCCCGGGCAACCTGGGCTCCAGTCCCACACCAGTAAAACCATCAAGGCAGCACTCAGCCATCCCTGTGCCTGGGCTCTCCCGCCTGTGAGAACACTTGTGCCAGCCCCAGGACACAGAGAACACGCTCTCAGTCTGAGAAAGCAAAGAAAAAACTTCACACTGAGAGAAAAGCCCGCTTAGTTTACAGGTTGCTTTTATTTACAAATATACCGAAGTGTAATCTCTCTCTCTTTTTTTCTTTTTCTGCTTTTGTTTAGAGTGTGTGTGTGTGTGTGCACGTGCATGTGCACGTGGGAAGGAACACAGTGTGTGAGAAACTCGTGGATCTTAGCTCCAGGCAATGGTGGCAGGAAAAAAAATGCAGTGAAATGAAATTTAAAAACACTAATAAATAATTTAATAACGACAAATAATTAAATTAAAAAAAATTCCAATCTACATACATTATGGTGGTTTGTTTCCAACACAGAGGGAAAGGAGCAGCGAATCTACAGTGAAAGGAGCTGGTTAAATATGAGAGAGCATAGTCATATTTTTTACAAGTTAAACAAATTGTAACAGACAGCTACAAAATACTACATTTCGATAACATAAATACAGAATATATAAATATACAAGTAATACAGCCATACACAGCTAAAAAATAGGGTGTTCACTTAAAAACAGAGTTCCCAATGCAAGGTATCTGCAGCCCCTTCACAGCTGCTGCTGAGAAGAACCAGGGTGCACTGAGCCAAGGGGACCTGGCTGCAGCCGTCAGTGCAGTCAGATCAGCCTCAGAGGAGCAAGACCATGCTGAAAGCCCACCAAAGCCAAAAGACTTCATGTGTCTCTTGTGACCAAGTATCTCCCTAATCAAGGAGCACAGGTGCCCAAAGCTCTGGCTATGGCTTCCCTGTGCCCCCAGGCTAAAGAAGAGGGGCTGGGGAGGAACCTGAATGCACAGGGAGCAGCTTCTGGTCAGAAATGAGTGAGGTGGTTTGGGTATGGGGTTGTGTAAAGCATGACCTGGAGCACTGAGACTCTGGGTACTGTGGCTGCAGCTCCCACAGTCGTGTCGTGCTTCAGCAGGCTCTGTCCTTTCACTGCTGTGACTAAGCTCCGGGCTTGTGAGAAACCCTGCCTTCCTCACAATTCTACTGTTCATTTCTAGTGACCTTCAGGAATAACCAGAGTTCTTATGACAGGGTTCATGGAAGTGCTCTTGCAAACCCTAGCTCACAGCATCTCAGCAGCATCCCAGAGCTGCCCTCCCTGGGGCACCTGGGGTGGTGGCTTGGGATATACTTCTGCCTCTTAAGGAAAGTGGAAAGGAGTCCTGAGCTCAGTAGGAAGAGGTAAGTGAGTTCACATCATCCCTGGAAGGTTTGCTGTTATGAAGGACCTTCCCCATGCCATGATGTACAGTGAGGTGGCTGAGCAATGGCCCTTCAAAGGACCTGGTGATGCTCATCCATTTTCTGCAGGATGTGTCTGAAAAATCCACTCAGCTAACGTGAGCCTCACCTCATTGTTAGCTGCAACTGGGCCACGTCATCTGGATGTTTTTGATGACAGAGTTTAAAGAAGAAAAGGAGTTCAAAATGCCCAGGATGGTGTTTCAGTATAAGTTGTTGCAACCACCACCCTTTACTTACAGTGACATAATTGTGTTCAATGTCATGACTGTTAAACACATTTGCCACCAGCCTCAGGGTTTGTCCCACGGTGTGGTGGTAATGGGGGGCTGAGAACAGCAGTGCACAGTAGGAATCATCCCCTCTACAGCCAGCCATGCCAGAGAAGGTGCTGCTGCTCAGCCCCGAGCCTGGCTGGGACCCAGGACCACACAGCTCAGTAACCCCTCCTGAATGCTGGGAACAATCTGTCTGCCACCATCACAGACCTGCAGCTGCACAGTAAGGACCTCTAAGTTGGTACCCAGCATTCTGATCTCACGATCATCTTTTTTATGCATTATTGGGCAAACACTGAAACCTAATCAATCATCTTTTACTTAATTGCATCTTGTCACCACTTTAGCTGCACATGTATTCTTTGATTAGCTAAAACAACATGATTGAAACGCCATGAAGAGTTCACTTGATGCATTTGTATTAGAGAGGGGTTAATTTCCTAGGGAAAATGATCACTGTAAGGTGCACGTAATAAACTGCTGTCATGACCTCTAGCCTTCGAGCTCCCATATGTGCAATCATTGTTTGCGGTTTTCGTGGAAGTGCCAGATGCTAAGAATTTTTTGGCTAGAGTTTATCAATTTGACTCAATGTAAGATATTACTGTGATATGGCCCATTAAACATTTTACTTTCACCTGATTGGGGACATTCCCTTGACAATAGAAGAGTAAAGCAGAAATCAAAAAGGTCAGAGGTTGCTGTATAATCTTTTACTGCAGGTCCCAGGTTAAAACCACAATGATCACACTCCAGTAGAGTAATTTATTCTACAAAAAGAAAGTGACATTTATTTTGCTTTAATGAACTTTGGCCTTTGCCAGCTATAACAGGCCCACTGGAAATCCTTGGCTATGCATTCCTTCCCTGGACCAGCAGCAGCCCACCATGGCATGGAAAATGTTACACATGCCAAGGGCCTGACTGTGCTGTGTGTGTGGCTCCAAATGTGGCAGAACACGGGGCAACAAACAGCTAAGGCATCACCATACAACACACCAAGGGAAAGGAGATGGTATGTACAAGAAATGAAAAGGAAAAAGAAAAGGTGGCAAACAGTCATCCAAGTCATCCAAAATCAGCAAATTATGATGGTTACTTCATCTATAAAATGGGATATCTGATTTTTTCCTTGGAGATGGATTGTTTTTTCAACATCCAACCCAGACGCAGAGGTAGAGTTGGGACAAGGCAGTTCTCCAAACTGTAGGTCACATTAGAGTTCTCATACAAGTCCCTGTAAACACTAAAAATGCCATTTTCAGCCTGCCAGTAATGAAATATGAAGCAAGGTTGTGCCTGTGTGAGTAGTCTATAAACTGGTATGTCTGAGAGGATGAAGACATTTTCTATGACTCTAAAGTAGCACAGCAGAGGGGTGAGGAGGGAAATGATGAATCCATTGAGATTGGTGGTGACAAATCTTTATATGTGCCATATGAAACCTGCTTGCCTTCTGCCCTGCAAGCAGTGAGGATCACCTGAGTTTTTTAGATGTTTGCTGTCATGCAGAGAGAAAGGAAATTGTTGTTTATTTTGATACACAGGGAAAGGGAAAAAATAATTGAGCGGGATGGACAAGAAAAGAAGATCCTTTCAATTTCAAAATATATCAAGGGGCTCACAACCCTCAAGTGAAAACCACATCCCTGCCAGAAAGCAGGGAATGGTCGCTAGACAAAGCATATGGATGTGATGGACCACCTCCCTGGGGAAAACAGCAATGGAAACCTGCAGGGACAGGGACAGGAGCATCCCCAGCACCCTCACAGAGCCACCAGTCCCTTCCCTGAGCAAGGCTGTGTGTGGCAGGCAGCGGAAGGGTTGGCCTTGGGCTGTGCTCTGCGCCCCTGCACCACACACACACAGAGCCTCCTCCACGGTGTTGTCCTTCTCTCCAGAGTGAGAACCCGTGTGCTTATCCTGCAGATAAAACTTGACTTTCTCAAGAAACCTCCAACATACTCAGTACACATCACCCTGCCATCGGAAAACGATCTCATGTTTTCCCTTGGACCCATCATCCTACCTTCCTACCCACGCCTCCGGGACACCTGGAGGACCTGTCTCCATCAGTGATGCAGGGTTCCCAGCAGGATCACCCCCCTAAGGCCGAGGATACAGTGCCCCCAGCAATGCTCCTCCTGCCCTGGGTGCCAAGGCTGCAGGAGTCCTGCTCTGGCCTCCCCCTCCAAGGCAGTCCCAGAGTCCCACGCTCCCGGAGAAGGTGCTGAGCCCCACAGGGACACTGCAGCACTGGCCTGGTACCAGTCCTCAGCCTGGAGGAGTTAGATTAACCAGAGCTTTGGACTTGTTTTTCAGCTATTATGGTCAATATATTAAAGGTATTTATTTAAGAAAGTGCCTATCCTGCCAATCTTTCCCCGTGAGCTCTATTTTGAACACACCCTATAATTACTGATATTACCCTGGCAAATTTTCCCCATGAAGTTTTCTCCACTGAGAGCCATGACTGTACTTGTCTGCCTCTCCACATTATAATTATCACCAGGCAATATTTATAGCTATACTATTATTATTTATGATATTTTATGCCCTACAAAAATCTATATGACATATGCTCAAACTTCAACATCAGAGACAATCAGACTTCAGCTGGGACATCCCCTTCCTTCAGCATACCTGTTCTTCTGGCGCTGGCACTGCCCGGGTGATTGGAGCCACAGCCAGGAGTCCCAGCAGCAGGAGGATCTGCAGGACTTGGTCAGACTCCAGCTCAACATACCTGAACTTCCCAGCGTGAGCTCTTTCATACTTTCCTGTTCGCAGCTGGTGCACATTTCAGGACTTCTGGTGTTTCAGGCTAGAACTGTGTATCCTCGATTCTTGCTGAGGCAAGATAATTAACTAAAGGAGTGCTTAATTATTCCAGATGGACAATAGAGCACAGCATATTTATGCCTCATGCAAAACATAAATAAACAGAACAGAAGGAACAAACACTTGTTTGCCAGTTGTGGTCTAGGCTTGAAATTTGGCACTGCAAAACTTACAAACAAATGTAAATGTTTTAATCTCACACTTAAAAAAAAAATTAAATAAAACTGTCTCGTAAGCACCCTTAGTTTTAATTATTTAAGATCAATGCTAACCTAAATGTCTCTGTCCCTAACATGCATGTCCTCTCCAGAGTCACAGACCTTTCTTATTCTGAAATCACTGGCTTTCTCCACAAATACTGTTAACCAGTTTCCTCAGTATCATATGCATAAGGGCTATAAACTAATGAGCAGATCTAGGTTATGTAGAAAAAGTGTAGAAAGGAAACAAATGTTGAACATCACATTTACATTAACTTCTCACAGTTCAAATGGCAATTTATCCACAACATAGTATGAATCATGCAGTAAGAAAAGGGAGGAATCTCCAGTTTCTTTGATTTATTTGTCATATGGTCAACTGATGTCAGTATCAGCGGCTTTAAAAAAAAAAAAAGTTTAAACATCCAAAAGAAAGGAAGAGAGAAAGGAGGAAAAGGTCTAGCTTTCCACAAAATCCATTTCCTTTAAGATGACGAGCTCAAACCAAACCAAATCAAAGGCTGAGGACGAGCAGGTTCTTCTGTTCCTTCCGTGCTTGTCTCGTGGTCTGGTGCAGGCTGGGAATCAAGGGTATGGGACGGGTGGATGTGTTTTGTTTCTCTATATATGTATGTAGGTAGGTAGGTATTAAAGTATATATACATACATACACATATATGCAAACAGAGACAGTCTTCCTAAAAAAATGCTCTTTGCAGTCCAGAGGCAGCAGAGTCACTGTGAAGGAAGAGCTGGGCAACATATGGCTGTAGAGTCTGCACTGGAAAAGTCACTGGCTAAACACACGCCGGCTGTTTGTTTTCTTATTTTCATGAGGCGAAATAGGAGCTCTGCATAGAGTACAGCCTGTCAATGGGGTTTCCTACTCTAGCCTGCATGGAGTTAACTTCAGAAGAGGCAAGAAAACAGTCGCTCAAGCTAGTTAAAGAGGTATCACTGTCGATATCATGAAAAATGGAGTCATTTCCTGCAAATGAAACGTACATGTTAAGCTGATGCTGTGCAGCCAGGGGAGGACACAGTACTCACGGGTGCTCACAAGCTGCAGCTGCAGCAACTGGGAATGCTCCTGGTTCTCTTATCACATGTTAACCTTATCGCATGTACTTTGGCTCTAAGGGTCTGACCTATGATGATGGGGACTAAAAACCAATCCATGGGGGCCAGCTGGCAGCAGTGCCCCCCAAACCTGCCAGGATTTAATTAAGGCTTCAGTCAGCAGCACAAAAGGTAGTCTCGGCTGACAATGAGAGCAAACAGTGCTGGGGAGGAGCAGGTGCCCAGCTCTCCAAGGGCTGGGATCTGGCACTCCTGAGGGCACCAGGGCTGTTGAGGAAGGTGGGACCAGATATCAAGTGCCCGTGACAGGGAAGCATGGTCTAAGAGCCATAGTCATAGTGGTCTTCATTTACACACAAGGCAAAAACCAGTTCTACCAATGTGACAGGACCCAGGAGGAGACCCAGTTTCCCTGGCCTCAAGCGACCTACAATCGTAAATGTGCTCTCCTTTCAGAAAATTCCACTCTTTCAGGGCTAGTTCGGAACAGCACCTTTTATTTCCCTTAGCAACTAAGATTTCAGCTTACTTCAACTTCGAAGGTATCAGAAAAACCTCTAGCTCAAGTGCTGGAGGCTTTAACAAAATGTTAGTCCAGTTCTTTTTCCTCACACACTTGTTTGAAAGGGTTTTCTGCCAACCTCTGCACTCTTTTCGGAGCACAGAACCTGCCTCCCAAGAAGTTTTACTCAGAAAGCCCAGCAAACCAACAAAATCACAAGTCACCTATAATGCTTGAGGGCACTTTGTATGCCCTCAGCTCCTTACAGGACCTCCCAAATTTCCTGGTGTGCAGCACTGACTTGTCTCAGTGGCAAAAGTACTGACAGAGACCCAAAGCAGATTTCCTGTTGGCCTGTGCATGCTGTGCTTGTGACAGTGATGCACACATGAGCCTCTACAGTGAAGTGTCCTGGTCAGCAGGAAAGAGTCAGAAACAGGCCCCTGTGGGCTACTGCAAGTCTGAGAATCACAGTCTGAAATATCCTCAGAAATTCTTTTTAAATGCCACACTGCAATTGTCCAGAATCAATTACTGGGCATTCAGTACTTGTAATGCCTCTGATGTGTGGTCAAGCAATCATGAAAGCAAACCGTCATCTTGATATGGGACAGAGAACAAAACCACGCAGGAGAAATGTCCTGTGGTAACCCATCTCTTAGTAGCTCAAAAACTGTTCTTTAACAAATCCACACATCCAATCTGCGTGATTTTACAGGGTTGCTTATTCATTTTGGAATGAATAGATTACTTCTCTTTATTTAAGGCACTTTTTTCTCAAAGCTTCTAAGAAAAAAGGAAAAACTTGTGAGGGATCTAGAATTTGGTACTGTTTATTTTTCAATGTCTTGGACAGTGGTTTAAAAAAGTGGAGCTGGAGAGGTGATGTTTCTTGCTTTACCATTTATCAGAATCATACTGTGAAATAATTTTGAAGGGTGTCAAGAGCTTGAGATGAGCTCTGTTCTACCTCCTTATGTGTACAAGAAATTATACACGCAAAACTGACTGGTACAAATTCCCTGGTACAAATTCCAGAAAAAATATACTAAAAGCCAGCAGTGCTGCTGGCCTTGTGGTGTGTGATGCAGCACACAGACCCTGCTACTGCGGATGTGGCAGAATGAGGCATGCCTTACCATAGGGGTTCATGTGGTCGCCTGGCATTTGTGGAGGGGTAAGACCCTGCTGAAACGGGTCTGTGCCATAACTGCTTTGCTCCATTGCTACAATCTGCTGCTGTGGTGGTGCAAGTGGTGTGTAAGATGTCATCATCCCTTCCATTCGGTTGGACATTACTTCTGCAAAGCAAAGAAGAGGCAGAGTCATTGCTGGGGACCAGGGCAGCATTAGTGGCAACACTGAACCTGAGCAAATACAGGTAGGGGGATCCTGTCAGTCAGAGGAGCTTCTCAAATTTTGTCTGAGAGTAGAATCTTGAGCAAGTAAGTTGAAAGACTTGTAATTTCTCACTAAATCATTTCTGGAGCTCCTGGGTGCTGGACCTTATCCTCCCGAAGTCTGTACTATGTGTGACAGAGCTTAGTTATTCTCTAACTTCTGTTGGTCCCAGTTCTTCGGGCTCTGGGTAAAGAAGAGGATTTGAGACTGCAAGGCCTTGGGAGCTGAAGACCCTCAAGAGTACCCATAGAGCAGCAGGGCATGCCCTGGTGCCTCTGGGCAGTGCCTGCCCCAGGGTCCAGCCACCTGTGGAGGTACAGGAGGGGCTCCCCATGCCGTGCCTGGAGCAGCAATGCTGACACCCCTGCAGATTTCCAGCTGAGCATGGTGCACCCTACTGCAGGAGAAAACCAACTGGAGGATCTACCTGGATCAAGCCTCACGGAGATTTCCTCCAGTGGAAGTGCCTCCATATGGCACATTTTTTCTAGAAAGGAGGTAACAGCTTCTGTGTGAGCACCTCTGTGCTCTGGCCCCATCAAAGGAACTTGGGGTAACCTGGCATGGGCACTCAGGCACCCATCTGTGTGTTACCACTGCTGATGGCACACCTCACCCACAGACCCGCACATCACCTGGATGGCTGTACTAAGGTAACGTGCAGGAATGGCACTTCCAGACACCTGCAGATTCCTTCCCTCTCACTTTGCTTCATCACAAATCCCCTACCTTGTCCTAGTCGCTGCGAGTTCTGTTGCTCCTGCTGCTGCTGATGCCTTCGAGCCAGCTTTTTCATCTGAAAAAGAGCGGAACAGAACAATCTCATGGTTCTGAATGCAACAATTTTGCTTCCTTACAAAACTCTCTGCAAACATTGTTATCAGTGAACACAGACCATATATACTCATGCACACACTGCTGTGGGTTCAGTTTCAATTCTAAGCTTAAACATCTCAGTTTCCCGTTCAGATTTGCATGCAAAATTAACTCCCAACCCTGTGCTGCTTTGAGCAACAGTGGCTGTGTTCGGAAGTTGCCTTTCTAGTGTGGACGTAGAGAGTGGTGCAAGGCAGAACCTGCAGAGCTCAGCCATGGGACCTCCACAGTGTGAGCTACATCCAGGGCAAGAGCCCGTGCTGAGGCATAACCTGCATTTGACTTTTGAGAATATGATAAACAACCTACCTTTGCTCTTTGGTTTTGAAACCAGACCTGGACGACTCGCACGCTGAGCCCTGTTTCAGCTGCTAGTGTTTCTCTGACCTGCAGGAAGAAATGCTTAATGACGCAATTTTTTATGTGTTAACCAAAACAAACCACTAATCAGTTTTGTTAAGATGAACATTTGTACTTACAACAAAAAATTGCATGTATGGAATTACTTTTAAAAATTCCTCATATTTTTGCACAGTTTTTTCAAGTTCTCCCCCTGATGTCGCTACCAGTTCCATGAGTCCTGAACAGACAGTCTGAGCTGAGGAAAATGACGCTCAGTCATCTCATGGTTTTTATTTTATCCGTAAAACAGTTCTGCGCAAAAAGAGTGCTTTGCTCTCACCCCAAGGGAACTGCTGCTGTCTTGGGAAGGGACAGGGGCTGTCTGGGGCTGTGGCCTGGAGTCAGAGCTGACTTGGTCCCTGGTGAAGCACCTACCTTTCTACAGGGCTTGGAAGACACTTCAAAGGATGCTTTGAATGCTCTTCTCTGCTGTGTAGTAAGTATTGTCCTTGGTCGTTTAGGTCTTCTTGGGTCCTTCCCATCATCACTTCCTTTTCCTTGGGTTACTTGGCCTTTGGTGGGCTTAACATCTCCATCTTCATCATCACTTTTAACTAGTGAAAAGCAGGATATATAATTGCACTTGTTTCACCAAGAAAACAGGATGTTTGAGAACTGCTCTTCAGTCAACAGGTTCAACTATTATCCCATGGTTATTTGCATACCTAAATCAGCTGCAGGCAGGAAGAGACTATCTTAGATTTGTGTGCTCTGCCTAAATCAAATGGCACAAAAGCATAAAAACATGTTCAATTTTTAATTGAGAAAGTGGGACTGATAAGGGGATAGAAATTCAGAATATACTTTAATATTTCCAGGGATCAGGCAGAGAAAGACTTTATGCCCTTCCAGCATCACTTGGTCTTTTATGTGCTCACCTGCTCCAACCTCACCACCAGATACACACCTTTCCCTTAGCAGCTGAGGTCCAGCTTCTCCTGAAGCATTATCTGCAGACAGGTACTACTGCCTGCACCGCTACAGCAGCAAAACAGCATAAAGTAAGTACCACACAAATATCTCAAAGCCTGTATAACTAAATATAGTGCAAATTCCAGTTATTGTTCTGAATTTTTTGAAGCTCTAGAAAAAATATTAAATATAATCTTTGCCATCTCATTTCCATTTCCCACAGAAAACATCGGTATTCTTCCTCTGTGTCCGCATTTATAATGTGTCTGGATGTACGAGCATAAACTTCTCTTTCTCAGTAAATGCATACAAGTATTTATGTGTTTGTGTAGACCAAACAGATTATTTATGTTTTCTATAATTAAATTCTGAATGTTCATACAATCTGGTGATACTACATGTGTTAGTATATCGTCCTGGGAAATCTCAATTGCAGTGGCAAAGGTTGAAGGGTAAACACAAATATGTTGTGAAAATCAACCTTAAGTCAGCATATTTTATTTGACCAGACTACTGATTTTTCTTCCAGAAAACACTATCACATTATTACAGGGATTTCAACAGGAAGAAGCACACTGACATTTTATATGCTGAAAGATTACATTTGGGGAATCAACAAATTAGACTTTAATTCATTTTAGGGTCTGATTATTATGCACCTAGCAGTCTAATCACCTTTTACTTTAATAAGCATCTTTGGCCTAATGATTAAAGAGAAGCTCAGTCATTTTAATAACCACGACATTATTAACTTTCCAGCGTGCCATTTCTAAGGAAAGGTTTGTGAGGATTAATTCTGCTCATAGGAGAGTACTTTTGTGTCCAGTGGATAAATATTTGATTGAAGCAGGACACGTTCTCAGCCAGGGCTCTGCAGATCGTGTGCTCTCACACAGGCCCCTGGGAGATCAGTGTTTTCAGTGTGTTAGACAATGGGAGACAAACAACCTATTTAACTTGTCAGCTTGTTTTTCAGGTTTGGGTTTGGCAAACAGAGAGTAATGAGGGGAAAAAAGCGTCTCTGGGAGTAAGAAACTCCCCCTTGTGCCAAAGGGAAATGAAATTGAAACCAAGGCTGGTTTGTGCTACTGTGGTTGCTCACTGCTGATCACAAACCAGATCTGATCGTGAAGAGGAGCCCCCCCCTGCCCAAAGCTCATGTCAAACAGCTGCCAGTGCTGGCATCTATGGGAGGATGTCTGTGCCCAGCCCCAGCCAAGGATGGCCTGGCTCCAGCTGCTTAAGGGGGTTTGGCTGGACACGGAGCAGGTGCCCAGCAGGATGCTGGAGCTGGCGGGTGGAACAACACGGTGATGGGTGAGGAGGAAACTCACGTGCCTCGGGCACGTTCACCAAGAGCTGAAACTCTGTGATGTGAGATTTACCCAGCAGAGACTCAAGGTCCTGCAAACACAGTATGGCAATAACTGACACATAATAATAATATAATTATTGCTATAATAATAACCATAACTGCTCCAAGAATGATCCCGGTTGCATGCATTGCTGAAGCTGCAGAGACCTTTGGCCTGTGCCATACCTGACACAGAAATACAAATTTCAGCCATGTGGACAATATGGCTCTCAGATTAGAGACTAGGGATAATTTCTGCTCTTAACTAAAATGGAATAACACATTTTCCCATAAACCAGAGGTAAGCATTCATGTCATTCGTACATTTAATGGAATGGTAACTATTGATTTTCTTACACATTTTCTTGGGAAACAAGTGTGCTATTATAACGGCACAAACCAACATCTCAGTTTCTTTCAGACTCTCTTCAGTACTTCTGTGTTGTACTTGTAATTTTTCTTAAAGGTACTATTTGTGATTGGCAGAGAGAATCCTCTCGAGAATCATATTACCGCTGTGCCCACTTCCCTAGCTCAGTGCTGGAAGTGTACGTGCAGAAGATCCCAATGGACGGAAGAATGTCTGTGGAGAACAGCATACTGAGGACTCACTTGAGTGAGACCTCGGGTAGCTGAAGTCAGTCTGATTCATGTTTTATGATCTTGCAGAAAAATACTTTGATGAAAACAAAAGGATTTTGTCCTTTACTAAACAGCAAGTTAAGGAAGGGAATCAGGTCAGGGAGAGCAGACTGCAAGTAGGGATGTTTTCAGCTGTGTGTGTGAATTTGCATAGGTGGCATGTGCATATAGACAGAGTGGATGTGAAAATGGATGTAATTCCCAATAAGAAAGCTGCTCAAACTAATGCAGCTTTTCCAGTCAGGGCAGGTGGGGGAAAAGCTCACCTGAGTCTGAGTCGTCTGGGCTGACCGAGCTCAACAAGTCCTTCTCTTTCTCATAGTCACTTTTGCAGAGCAGCTGCCCTTCCTTGAGGACAAACTCATCCCCTTTCCTCAGCTGGCGCTCGCACACACAGCAGCAGAAGCAGCTCAGGTGATACACACACTCCAGGGCTCGCATCACGAACTCTGTCGGGGCGATCTTCTCCATGCAGCCGCTGCACTTGGCGGCAAAGAGCCTGCAAGGAAGAGGTACCACAGTCAAAGGGAGTGTCAGATCATACCCTGCGTGGATCTAAATCCAGCAAAACCTGCACAGATCAGCCTGGCTCGTGCTCCTGCACACTGTGAGACTTGTGTCCTTAGGCTTGGAAACATCACAGGCATGCAATTTATTCAAATCTCAATCCCCTTGGTTTTGAGATTCTCCAAATCGCCTTTGCTGGCTAAAGGCCACTAAGATCTGTCCTTATCGCAATGTTTTTTTCCTCTTCAAAATGAGAAACAAAAGGGAGCTCTCAGAGTTGGATAACTTGCCCAAATCCAAATGTATTTTAATTTACCTTTTAGAGAAAGGACCAGCACATGCTTTGTTTTATGCAGGCTCTCTGGTTTCAGCACTTAAACCCTTTTCTGAACAGATTTCATGGCTTTCCATTTTTGGTATTGTCTGTCTCTGAGGACACTGATAAACGAACACAGAAATGAGCAGGAAAACTCAGTGCTCTGGCTGAGGCAAAGCCGATGCACACACATGCGACTGCACACATGCAATCGATAAAGAGGACTGCAATAAGAAGCCTTTTCTTCGGATGTTGAGTTATTCCAGAACAACCTGTCTCTGAAGGGAATACTGTGCATTTTAAATGGTGTGAAACATCCTTTGGCAGAGATAAGCAGTGATACAATCTGCTAAATTACCACTATAATCACAGACTCTAGAACACACACTGTATCCAGACTAGTTCTTATTAAACCTCTATAAACCTCCTCTTTCATCCATCATTAATTTTCTAAGATAAAGTTAGAATTATTTAGATTAATTTTATTTTGCTTCTCTAATGTCAGCTGGGAATCTCCTAAGTGAGCTTTTCAGAAGAGGGCTGCCTCAAATAAAGACAAATCGCTAAGTTACGTCCCTATGTCACACAGTGGGCTGATGATTTGAAATTCAGTGTCTTTTAAGGCAATACATCACAGCGCAAGGTGTGTGAACATTTACATTTCAGCTAGGAAATGAACACAACTGCACTTGTGTGTTCACAGGAAAAAAACTATATTCTGCCTTTTAGTGCAGGGTCCACTGATCTTTCTTTTTCATCATCAAAATCACAATTTTTTACAAAAAAGGCAATTTTCTTTGATTTTAGAAGACAGAGACTGTAGTAGTTACTCATTCCTCCAGAGCCTCCATTTTGTCTGAGCTGAGAAGTGCAGGAAAATGGCAGTCACAAGCCCTCAACAAAGGACTGGAGTCAGAGTGGGCAGGAGGGAAAAGCAAATGTCAGTGTGGTTGCTCACAGCATTCAGCGAACATCTGAGAGCCGGGAACTGGGGGGTTCCCCAGCTGTACCAAGGAGCGACTGCACTGGGAGCCTGGCTGGCTCAGTGCACACCTTCGTACAACCACAACCTCAAGGTAACAGCTGTGCAAGGTGGACAGAGTGGTTTGTTTTGGGGGTATGAAATGAATTAACTCGATCAAAAGGAAACTGATGCCACACAGGACCCTCGGGCACTGCCACGAACGGGCCGGCTTATTTCATACGCTCGGTTGGCTTTGTCCACAAGGTTTTACTTACAATGCTTTAGCCAGCAAATTCCTAAGCAGAAAATATTTTTATCTCTACACAATAACATATCTGAAAGGATTAACACACAAAGGGCAAAAAAAAAAGAGTGCTGAAAAAAGTTGTTTCTATTTAACTGCTTAAACCTATTTGACTCATTTAACCAAGCCTGGCCCCTCCGTCCCAGGGGCGTCCTTAGGACGGGGCATACCTGGAAACCCCAGGACTGGCAGGGCTGGTGCGAGGGCACCGTCCTCCCGCACCCACGCTCGCCCGCCCCGCCGGGGCTGGGACGCTGCCGGAGGGTCGGGGCGGCCCCGACGTGCGGGTGCCCCGCTCGGACCGGGACCGGGGGCTCCGGCCGCCCTCGGGCCCCGCAGCCGTTCGCGTGTCCCGTCAGCGCTGCTGGGCTGGGAAACGTTTAAAAACGGACTGCAGGGACCCCGTCCCGCCGCCCATCGCCGCGGGCAGGTGCCCACCTTCCCACCCCAGCGAGGGGAGAACGGGGAGCCTTCCCGGGGGGGTCTGCGATGCCGCGGGAGCAGAGGGGTGATGCGGGCGCGGCAGAGCGGGGAGGGGGGGCTTGGCTCTGGCGGGGCTGCGATCGCCCCAGGTAGGGCTGCGGCTGCCTCTGGTTTTCTCCCAAGTAAACCACACAATGCGCCACCATCCAGTGACAGGGAAAACACAGTTGTAAACACCATTTACAGATAATTTCAAGGAGGAAAGCCCAGGAAAGCATAAATACCCCGTACCTTCCCTCTACCTGGGACATGAGAAAAACCTTCTTGTCCTATGGAGTTTCCCTGAGCAGCACCTTCACTGTCACATTGCCTTACTGAGTGTTTGGGGTTTTAAATTTTTCTTCAAAATAAAAATGTCTAACATGAACAAAAAACATTTTGTGTTATTTACTAGCAATTGACTATCCCCAGAAACCTGGTGCTTTTGCAGCAGTGCTTCCCAAGGCAGCCTTTTAGCTGTAACGAATTACACTGACATCAGTGTAGTATTAATTCATTCAAATGAACATTAAACTGCCCTGACAATACTGCGTGGACTTCGTACCTAGAATTTGCCCACTGTCAAGAAAATTCCCTCCTCTGTACACAGGTATTCTCTGCACTATAACATGCACTACACACACACAGAGGGCCTTGTTGGATTGAATTCTGAGATTATAAAATCTTCATTACATCTATCTTATAAAGCATTTATAGATATTTTTTTAGCTTCCCAAGAGGAACTCAAGGTTATGCACTCCTTTTGCACAAGGCAATCTCACAACAGGAAACTAATCTTGACAAATGACCAGACTTTGATAGCTGTGATCTAAACCACTGCTCGTTAGACTGTTCATTTTATAAACGAATGGTAATAAACCTGTTGGGAAGTGTAGGATAGCAGGAATACTTTACAGATCACCCCTTTACAGGTTTCAATCAAAGTCATAAATTTTAAGTGGAGCACACAGATATTCTGTGCTGAGACAAAGCCTCTGTCCCACACCAACTGCATTTAAAGGAATATTTCTTTTGCTTTCTATACATTTTACAAATAATTTGCATAACTCAGGCTTTTCACGCCCATGGCTGATTATCTCCAGATCTCTTAAGTTAATGTCAAACCTCAAAATCCTTGGACTTGTAAAAGTATGTGGAGAGTGGAAATCAAATGCCTTTATTAGAAGCCCCAGGAAATCTCTGACTCCTAAGCACAACGAAAACATTCCAAAGAAAATTGTTCAAAGAGGACAAAGCAGAAAAGCAGAACAAGAAAACCTTGTTTTGAATCAATGATTGCAGAGTTTTATAAATAAATTCTTTTGCCTGGACAATTTTGAAAGACAACTTAATAGGTTTAGGAGTTTTTAAGTGTGTTTGCCTCTGTGCCTGGAACACTTGTGAGATTCAGCCAAGCTAAAGCTTGGAACAATGGCCTGTCTGTCCATTGGAGTATCTACAATACTGTGAAGCAACTTTACAGTACTAGATAATCAAAAAGTCTTTACCAGCTAAAACTGGGTGAACTTAAATTAATTTGTATCAGGGGCAATGCAAATGCTAAGACATGTGGTCCTGTCTTTAAACAGTAGATGAAAATGTTCACCAGCGGAAGAGGCCATAAAGATTTTATTTGTTAGGATATCCCTGTGAAGTCAGGCTGAATCAGTAATCCTTAGAAACAACCACAGTTACATGATCCACTGTGCCTTCCTGCATGGCACAGCCATCTGGTGTGCAACATGGACCCCTGATTTATTATCTCCCGTGCAGTTATCTCACAGTAAGTTTGACCCTGCTTTGCTCCTGAGAATCACAGCTCTGCTGTTTACTCTCCTGGTGTCCTGACAACCTACCCTTTACCTTTCTATGGTTCACCCAGGTCCTTCATTTCCTCCTGTCTGTGGGCAAATAGATTTTAATTGTTTTATTATAACTAATTTAATCTGTGCTGAGAGACCTCCACGTGCAATGCGAAATTTGCTGTTCACATTAAGTGTGGTTCAAGAGGTTTGTTATACAGGACAGAGGTAGAAAAATAGACTAATTCAGTCAGGTTGTTTATTTACTGGGCCTCTGCCATGAAGCAGTAAATAGGAAGTTATTAAGCCGTGTTTGATGTATGCAAGAGGACAGATGCTGCTGCCTACCTATCAAAGACTTTCAATCATTTCCCTTTCTGTGTTATTCTGACATTATGTGTTGCAGGAACCACGGTAAATACCTGGCTTTTCTTTATTTAATAAATATGCAAAGATGGTGGTTGCAAGCTTTTGTGAATACTGTCAGTGTGGTCTCTAGCTCTGATGCTTTTCCCTCTGCTCACACCCTCCTGGGACTCCCCTCTCAGCCTGTTCCACCGCCAGGAACTCGTTCTGCACTCCTGTGGCACTAAACAGGGTAGAGCTGGAGTAAAATATATTATGCTTTTCACACAACTGAGTTTTATTAAGAGAAGAAATTAAATTACTAATGAAAGACATCTGTTACTTGTTCTTTAGGAGAAATTTTGGTACTTCTTTCTTTAGATGACATAGAATGGGGAAAACAGTACGCGTGGGCCTTTTCCAGCCCAGGACTTGAACATTTTTGTAGCATCTTACAGCTCATGGGTGCTTACAAAGAGCAAAAACTGTTGCTTGGTTACACTCAATTCTGAACGTTCAAAACATTTCAAATGCCGTAAAGGAAAACAGAAATATTATAATTTTATGATTTGAAAAAAACCCTCCACCCTTATAAAAGAAACATTCCATTTAAAATATTTTCCCTGCAGAAGAAATAATTACATAGTTTATTAAAGCCAATTTCATAGCTGAAACTTCAGTAGAAGAAAGCTAATTCCCTTTCACCGAGTAATAATAAAACACGCAAAAATTAAAAGCTTCTAGGAAAAAAACTGTAATATTTAGAAAGAAACTAAAACAAACCTTTTTTTTCTTTAGG